GATCTTGGTTTTTCCTTTAGTTGAATGATGGTTAAAATAATTTGTTCCTTGCTCATCTAACATGGTTTTGAGAATAAATGTGGTGATGTAAGTGAACTGCTTTAGATGCTAAATATAAATTTATAAGACAGCATTGAAAGGCAGTTGTGTACCCACTTAATAACAGTTTTGTGAATTGAGGGGTACTGATTTTGTTAAGTATCGCTGTACTTTTATAATAGCACATTAGAAGGTCATAATAGTGTTATATCTTTTCTTTTCTTTTTTTTTGGCTAGGCAGTGGGGTTAAGTGATTTGCCCAGGGTCACACAGCTAGTAAGTGTTATGTGTCTGAGGCCTTATTTGAACTCAATCTTGGTAAATCTTAGTAAACTTAATAGCATGTGAAATTGATCAGCTGAACCCTCTTGACTCCATGGCCAGTGCTGTATCCACTGTGCCATCTAGCTGCCCCTTTTCTCTTTTTAAAGTCAGGCAAAAGCTTTTTCAAAGAAGTTTAATTTTTTTTTATTCCAAATGTAAACACCAAAACCCCCCCAAAAATGTCCTTTTCCATATACAAAAGTAGAGCAGATGAAGATCATGCATGAAATTGAGAGTCCCTGTTAATACACAATATCTTTTTATAAGTCTGTGGGCTGGAACTTCATTGTGTTGTTAGAATCAGATAATTTGAAGCATTATTGCTAAAATTTACCTTTGGCTCCAGCAAGTGGAATTGCATTTGCTAATTTGCAAGACTGCTAAAAAGTTAATTTCTATTGTTGTTTGGAAGTTTCAGTCATGTCTGACTCTTCGTGACCCCTTTTGGGATTTCTTTGACAAAGTACTGATGTGGTCTTGTAATTTCCTTCTCCTTCTCATTTTACAGATAAGAGAACTGAGTATCCAGGTCATAACAGCTAGTAAGTGTCAGAGGTCACATTTGAACTCAGGTCTGCAGACTCCAAATCTGGTGCTCTATCCAGTGTGCTACTTAGCTGCCCAGTGAATGAAAGCTGATGTCAATCTTGGTAAACTTAATAGCATGTGAAATTGATCAGCTATAGTACCAATGAACAAACCATGTAACTCCAGAGCCAGCCATTTACTGGAAATGATGGATTCTATTTAACATACATTCTTGATTGTATGCATTAATGGAAGAGCAGCACGAGGGATAATATAAAATAGTAGATATGTACTCTTCCCTGTCAGGAACAGCATAGTTTAGGAAAGGCCAACCTATTCTTGTCTATCTAACCTATCTCTTGTAACTGTTAATTTCTCTCTTAAGTTTTTTTTTTTAGATTTATATTTTTCTTCAGAAACACTGAAGCAATCAAAATATCAGATTTGAGAGGCATAGTGTTTTCCTGTCTTGGAGTCAGGAATGACCTTGGTCTGGCATTTAGCAGTTAATAGATCTAGGCCAACCTTCTCATTCTACTGAGGCCTAGGGAGTTAAAGTGACTTGTCTATGGTTACACAGTAAGTTTCAGAGTAAACATTAGAACCTAAGTCCCCTTACTTCAGAGCTATTGCTCTCTGCATGGTCAAGATGGAAACCAGTAGAATATGCAGAGCTTCTTCTGGGCACATCTCTCTTTATGTCCCTACTTTTCAGTGCAGTGCCTGGCAGAAATTAGGCATATAGGCAGGGTTATTGTGATGAACAAATAGAAGACATATAAAGTACTGTATAACCCTTAAAGTGCTGTATATAGTAGCTGTTGTCACTCATATCTGAATGACTCAAATTTATATAGATTTCCTAGAAGCAGTTCTGAGGTAGGTAATACAGTTATCATCTCCATTTTACAAATGGGAGAATTGAGGTCCCATTAGGTTAGGGAGTCTGCTTATCACATCTCTCACACAGAGAGTGTTGTTATCCACTGCACCATGTCTGCTTCTCAGAGTAAGTGTTTGGGGCTACTTAAAAGCCAGGTTTTGGTTTTGTTAGAATTTATCTCTTTCTCTCGACATTAAGGTTATTAGTTATTCCAGGTAGATTACATTAGTTTCTCTACCACAGGGGAGAGAAGTTGTTGATCTGGAAGCTTCATGTTAAAGGGAAATGGAGAAAATCATGGGACTGTGTATGGCAGGGGCTTTGGAACTCAGCTGGATAGTAAGGGAGAGAGACTTCAGATCCTAGGATATCAGAGAGTATAGTGTGTATATTAGCATAGGCATGATAACAACTCACTATCTGGAAGTCTCTCATCTAGCAACCTTAGCTATCTGAGAAACAGGAAGTATACTTTACTACTTCCCTGGATCTATGATCTCAGTCAATAAATGTTAGTCACCTACTACATACTAAGTGCTGGGGATACAGAAAAAGACAGTCCCTATCCTGTAATAGCTCATAGTCTAATGAGGGATATATGATACACCACACCTCTCTGTGTCAGTGGTAACATGAGGGAACTTCATAAGGAAGTAGCTATTATCCAATAGAGTATGCCTTAGCTTGAAGAATTTAAGATCCTTGTGGTTGTAAAACATCCTACACAAGAATGTGCAAGTGCAGGAAGATTTCAATGGTCTGTTCTTTCTGTAAATAAGAGAAAATTGTGTCAGAATGGATGTCAAATAACAATCCCAAATTTAAAAAACCTTTTGCATTTACTTTTACATTTACTAAGTGGGCTACAATAAGCAATGCATTGTGCTTAGGTAGCAGAGGATACACAGCCAAAAATAAAATGGTTCCTTCAGGGGCAGGGGGAGGGTGAAACTATTTGTACAAGAAAGTAAATGCAAAGTAACATTTTTGAAAGCCCACACTTAACAGCTGGGATGATCAGGAAAATCCTGTCATGTAATAGATGACACTTGAGCTGAGCCTTTAAGAGAGACTAGGATTCCAAAAAACAGAGGTGAGAAGGAAGAGCATTCCAGACATGAGAGATACACACACAGATACAGACACATGTACATGACATACATACATACATACATACATATGTGTATGCGTACAAGACAAAGGCCAGGAGGTAGTGTATGAGAAATTGTGTCTGGAAAACAAGTTTGGGTGGATTGTAAAGTGTAGAAAGATTAAATGAATGGAAAGGAACCACTACAGCTTTTTGATCAAGGGAAATTTTTTTTTCTAAATGCCTGCAATTGTTTGAATTTTTTCCTTAGATCTTATCTTCAATTTCATTGTTATAGGGAACTCCTGGTGAGGAAAATCCCTGGACAAGTGCAGAAAATGTTCTGCAGATGCTTTGGGAATTGAAATGATGTGATTTTAATCAGAGTCACACAACTCAACTTGTCAAACGGAGGACCCATGTTTTCCTGACTAAGCTGACTTGCTATCCACTTTGAAATGCTACTTTTTTTGTTTCAATGTTTTTTCTAATTTTAGTTATTATTTTCATCTCAACTTGTAAAAAACACAAAATGTTATTTTTGTTTTCTTCTTTAATATTTCTTGCTTTATGGAGTCATTGTGTTCTTTTTGCTCCACTCTGCTTTTTAGGGAGTCTACTATTGGGTAAGGTTTTCAACTTTCTGTTCAAAGCTATGTCTTGCCTCTAGGGCCCAGCACAGGACCCTGCATTGATCAGTTGTTCTTTCATTTCAATTGTGACTAGCTCTTCATGACTCCATTTTGGGTTTTCTTTGCAAAGATGCTGGAGTGGTTTGCCATTTCTTTCTTTAGCTCATTTTACAAATGAGGAAACTGAGGCAGACAGGGTGAAGTGAATTGCCCAGGGTCACACAGCTAGTAAGTGTCTGAGGCCAAATTTGAACTCCGTAAAATGAGTCTTCCTAACTTCAGGCCTGGCACTGTATACACTGTGACATCTAGTTTGCCTCCCTGCGTTGATAGGATTTCACTAAATATTTGTTGAACAAATTGATTATTGTATATGAAGAGTCCGGTGGTAGTCACATTTACAATGAAATTTTAAAAGTTGGGTTTTTAATAGTATTGAGATAATTTTTAGCTATTCATTGTACTTTCATCTCCATATCCTACATTATCATTCTGTTTGACTCTAAAATTCCAGATTCTGTTAATGACAAATTTAGTAGGAAGAGAAAACAGAGATATTGGTATGTGTGTAATCAAAAACTGTTGAGACAAGTTAATACTAAGGAGATTCAATCTGTCATCTTGTAAGTCAATGTCTTCCACTATATCCCTTAAGTTTTTTCAGTTATCTTATATTTAAATAAAACCAACTGGTCCATCTAAATACCAACCCTTCCACCTTCTATTTTCTCCTAGCTGAAATCCTTTTTTCCTTGGTAATTGTTAATCCTTACCTCCTCTCTGCTTCTTGTTTATCCTCGGTGAGTTGCACTTCACTGTTAGGTTGAAAGGGATGGTCCACTGACTGTTGCTATTAAAACTCACTGAATTTGAATTTACACAATACAACCTTTTTGTGGCTCTATCTGTGTAGCTGAAGTTTGCTCCTCGGTCTTTGTAGGTTACTGCAATTAAGAATCTTTGTTGCTAGGAGGCTTTTACTTCTCACCAGCTGTAGGAATAACAATAGCATTGCTGCTTGTGCCCTAGGGGAATGAAGTAGAGGATAATCAATCTGATATCTTCCAAAACAAATCACGTCAAACATCAATTAGTGCAGTAGCTAATTTATAGGTACTATTTCTAAACCGGAGTTACTTAATTGATTTGAAGGGTAGCATAGTTGACACTTGCAAAATAGTATCTATTTTATTATGGAATGAAGACGTGTTTACAGTGATCCAAGCTTCTTTATTTAATTGGGAGAAACTGGCATTCAGACTGATCATAAGGGGAAGTTTTGTCAATGGTACATTGACACTCCACATGACAAATTGTAGTGGAAAAAGACAGACTAGCCATTCCATTATCAGATAAATGAGGAATTAGACTAGATCATTGCTGAGGTTTGAATTCAGCAACCAGCTTTAAAATTCTGTGATTATACTGTTTCTAATCTGGGTCTGGGAAAAGTGTAAAATTGTGCCCAAGGCATGTAATTTACTAAACCTAATTTTATTTGTAGGGGAGACAGATGAGATGCTTACACAAAACAGCTGTCAAAGTGGAGCTGGAGGAGCCTTGTTTGTGGTAAGTCATTTCCTAGATTATTTCTTAGAAATGGAAAGGCAGACATTTGAAAACTTGGGTCAAACCCATAGCATTTATTAATTACTCCCAAGGTTTTTAGACACTCAGTACATTGGTTTACACTGACTATTGATCCTCTTTATTGCTCTTAAGATACTGCTTAAAAGACCCTGCTCACTAGGGACAGCCCTAATTGGACTACTCTCCAAGACTCCTGGCTTTAGTTTCTATTAGCATAGGAATGTCTCTAGTCCAGTGGTCATGTGATTTGTTGGATTTGGTTCCCAGGGATAGTCAAGTTTTATAACAAAGAGGTCTTTTGTCTTTATATCATAATTGGCCCCCCTCCCCAAAATATTTCTATTTATTATGAATATTATTTTACATTGATAAATTTTATTTGGCATTCAGAAAGACTGTAATCCCTTTTTCTGAGCAAGGGGCTTTATTTAAGGATCCATAAATGTCTATTTACATATACAATTTATTATGTTTAATATAGAGGTTAATATCAGTGTATTTTTATGATTCTTGGACTGTTAATGAAAAATATTTCAGGCCTTTACTTCAACAAATTTCTATGTATTGCCGCCACCCCCAAGCTATTTCCGTGAAATTGAAAACTAGCAGATTAATATTACAATTGAGCTGATATTTGTAAAGTGCTTAGCACAGTGCCTTCCTTCCTTGAAAGTTTGAAATCTTTGAAAGTTGGTATCTTGAGGGAATTATTAGGATGTTTTATTTGCCATCTAAAAATATTTGGGTGGTAGTTCTGTTTAAATGCTAATCTCAGTGTGAGAATGGTTTCCTGTTGATATGCAATTTCTTGGACATTATTGAAGTGTATGTACTGTGTTTTTTTGAAGAGAAAGAATAAAGCCAGTTAATGTTAAGCTAATTTCTGTTTCTGGATAGTATATGGGGAGAGAAGATACTTTCACTTCCCCTAAAGAGTTTATAAATTGCAGGGGCAGCTAGGTAGTACAGTAGATACAGCACTGGCCCTGGAGTCAGGAGGACCTGAGTTCTCATCTGGCCTCAGACACTTGACACACACTAGCTGTGTGACCCTGGGCAAGTCACTTAACCCTGATTACCTGGCCAAAAAAAAAAAGTTTTTAAATTGTAAACAGGGTAATCCTATATGATTAATTTAAATAATATCTAATTAAATACCCAAATGTTTAGGCAGAATTGCTTTTTTTAAAAAATTCATTTTTAAATACTGTCAGTATTCTCATTATAGCAATTTCCAGACAAGTTTTGAGTATTAGTTACTTAACTGCCTTAGTCAAAGAATTGAAGGAAAAAAAAAAGAATTAGATTGGGAAAAGTCAATATAAGCATTTAAATTTCACATATTATTGTTTTTTGTCCATAATTCTCAAAGAGGACCATGACATCGGGAAGGTAACACCATGATTTGCAAGTGAATTGGATTTGAGTGAGAGAGGGCTGTGCAAAGTTACCAGCTTCACTTTCTTCCCCTGGAGCCATAAGGGTCCAGTAACAAGATATAGAGCAGGATGACTGGAGACTAGACATGTCTGAGATACCATCTGGCTCTTAACATTTTATGATTCAGTGATCAAACTCAGTATTCTGTTTGTAATTGTAGGACAAAAAGGGAAGGGAGGATTCCTTTTTTTTTTTATGGGAGGACATGATAGCTTTCCATGGCATCTACTTTTAAAAAAAGTTAAGAATCTACTCCAAAAAATCCCTAGGTTTCCTTAATCATTCATTACAAATCTCTACTATATATGAATTAATCTAAATGTTTTCCGAACCTGCTTATACTTAAGCCTTTTATCACTCCTTTGCATAATTTCATAAATTTATTCATCATTATTGCAAATTAATGTAGCAGGTACTAATTTATGTCTCAACTGATATTTTTACATATCAAGGATACCGTGATTTTTGATGTGCATTGTAATAATCCCAAAGCACACCATCAGATTCTGATGTACTTTCTGATTAGGGCAGGGATTGGGTTCTTTGTTAGTTTGTTTTGTATTCATGTTCCAAAGTCTCAGTAGTTTCTGACACATAGTAAAGTGCTATAATAAATGCTTGTTTCATTAACAAATTAAATTGTATTCAGGATAATTTCATATTAGTACTAGATGTGCTTTATAATCTTCAAATATTTTGAAGACCCTATTCCCCAACTATTCTGTATAAGATAGTTTCTTTTATTTACCCTAAGATGAAGTCTCAAAATTTCAAGGGAATGTTCATAGTGTTTCCAGAATTTGAAAGAAAAAAATCCATGTTTAACCTATGTCATTTGTAATTTTATAGACTGATAAAATCATACTCATTTCCCTATGTCTAGAATTGAGCCCTAATTTTTCAGTCAGTCTTCATAAGGAATTCCTTTCATCCTAATCAAATGCACAATTTGCCATTGTCATTGCTGTACAAGCTAATGGAAATATATTAACACCAGAAGATTAGCTATCATGTTCAACTATAGTTAACTATATTGTGTTAAAAAACAAGTCAACAAACATTTGTTGAGTATAGAGTTGTACTTGATGTGCTATGTGTTGGGGAAAATTATTATAAAGTAAGACATGATTCTTGCCTTCATGCAGCTTAGTCTAGTAGGGAAATAAGAACTTTGTGAAGTAAGGAGGAGGGAAGTATTGACTGGAATGTTGTGTGGATTTTAAAGAATGTCCAGTTTAAGGATTAATAGCAATGATCTCTATGAAAGTTCTACTTAGATACTTTAATGTGGAGATGACCCTGGGTTCTCAGAGGGGTTATGCCAATGGAGCACAAGATCTGGCAAGTTCTGCAATGTTAGGAAGGCTGGCTTGCTTTGAGTATGGGCCTTATTGTCCAAAGACTTGAGTAGCAAAGTTTAAAAAGGCTCATAAGTAGAAGCTTGACCAGTTAGGTGATTTGTGGGGGAGGGGACATGGCAATTCATTTACTAAGGTATGGAGCGTTTGAAAGTTACATTGCTAAGTGGAAGGGGTATTGAAGAACATATCATCAGTTGGTGTGTAAAAGCTGATTTTTAAAATATTGTTGCCTCTATAAGGACTTTAAAAAGCATGAAATACTCGGGAAAATTACATTTTAAGCAATTTGCTTTAAATTATTTTTTTTCCTCTTTATATAGCACAGAGATACTCCTGAAAATAACCCAGATACTCCATTTGATTTCACACCAGAAAACTACAAGGTATGAATAAATTACATGATGTTTAATATAGAAAACATTGACTCATTTGGATATGACAGGTGCTTTTTTCTTTTATACAGAGGGTAGAAGCAATTGTAAAGAATTACCCAGAGGGACATAAAGCAGCAGCTGTGCTTCCAGTACTGGACTTAGCCCAAAGGCAGAATGGATGGTTGCCCATCTCTGCCATGAACAAGGTATCTAATACAATTTTATTGCTTTATTTTACAATGAGTAGTAGGATTTAAGTAGTGGCTTCTATGGAAAATTCTTATGTGATGTAAAAGTTAGTGTCAGATTGTAGAAATTCAAATTTCTTTTATAGTTTAGATGTTTCCCATTGGACAGTTTTATTTGTATTTATACTGGTCTCATAGAAAATGTCAGGAGCCTTGGAAAGATGCAGCTTTTTGCACTGATAGAAAGGGAATAATGATGATAATATTTGTATTGCAATTATATAATGGCAGAAAAGTTACCTAATGTAGTGAAAAGATTATAATATAGACCAAGGTTCCACAGAAGGTATAAACTATATTCACATGATAATAGTTCTTTGAAGAAAGAAATGTACTTAAGTATAATAACTGGAGGGCAGCTAGGTGGCAAAGTGGGTACTAGATAAAGTGCTAGGCCAGGAGTCAGGAAGATTCATCTTCTTGAGTTCAAATCTGGCCTCACATTCTTACTAGCTGTGTGACTCTGGACAACTCATTTCACCCTGTTTGTCTGAGTTTCCTCATCTGTAAAATGAAGTGGAAAAGGAAATGGTAAATCACTCCGGTATCTTTGCCAAGAAAACCCCAAAAGGGGTCATGAAGGCTTGCACACAGCTGAACAGCAGCAGTAATAACTGGATACAATAAGATAAAAATAAATAATAAAATTATATCTGACAATATGAAAGAAAATATGAAACTTATTTCCTTGTCTTATTTTGAATCAAGGTTCCTAATTGTATCACTACTTCATAATTAGTGATTTTAATTTGACAATTAAGCCAGAAATATGTAGACATGAAGGTAGACATAGAAGAGACATTTCTGGAAAAAAGGAGTGGGGTTTTTTTTGTATATCTAAAGAGAAAGCACATTTTAATAATAGGTCCAGTAGAGCTACAAAAGTGAGATTGTTTATTTTTTTTTTCTTTGGGTTGCTTACTTCTATAACTAACCCTCACATACTTTAGTTTTAACTATGATTAGAGTGGTAACTTCTGGATCAGATGTACACATACACAAAGTTGATCAATAAAGCTGTCTTATATATAATTCAAGGTCAGGAAATCTCTATTTGAATATATTTCATATTGGAAAGCTCATCATTTTCACCTCAAGTGTCTTTCTTGGTTGAGCTCCACCATCATAATAGGATGTAGATTGATGGATTGCTTGGGGCTGAATCATAAAACTTCATAGATTAAATTAATAATATTAGATTGCTTACCAAAAAAAATAGCCAGAGTAGTTTTTGAGATGACTAAGCTACAGTAAAAAGCCAGTGTCATTGTGTACCAGATACAGATGTTTTGGATTATTGTCATGAATAGTACAGAACAATGAAAGGTCATCCGTTTAAAACTAAATGAAGATAGATAGTAAGCACATTCTTGGATTCAAATTACATTTTTTGTTGTTGTTGTTGTTTTAGGCAATGGGGTTAAGTGACTTGCCCAGGGTCACACAGCTAGTAAGTGTTATGTGTCTGAGGCTGGATTTGAACTCAGGTCCTCCTGTATCCAAGGCCGGTGCCCTATGCACTGTGCCACCTAGCTGCCCCCTCAAATTACATTTAGAATGAGAATCTTAAGTGGTAAAGAGATGGTGGGTGTGTTCTTTCGTATCTGAGTTGGGATTATCTCCTCATAAAGAATTATTAGGCTCCACTGAAAAAGTTGTTCAGGGTTTTATTTTTATTAATAACATGTAGCAATTGCTTCATGATAACCCTGTGAGGTAGGTACTATAAGTATTATCATCTCCATTTTACAAATAAGGAAATGAGCTCAGAGAAATGAAGTTACTTGCCCATAGTTGCGCAGCATTAAAAAGCAAACAAGGATTGAAAACCAGGTCTTCTGACCCTTACATTCAGAATTCTTCACTATGCTGTGATTTAAATGGAACAGTTTAAAAAAAAACTCACTAATGACTGCTTCATATATTGTAGGTGAATTTTTGCCATTCAAATCTAACAGAGTAAATCAGTCAACAAGTATTTATTAGTTCAGTGGATTGCAAAGAAAAAGCTAATCATTCCCTTCTCTCAAGGAGCTCACATCTATATAAGGGGAGAAATCATCTACATAAATAGATAAAAGATGCATACAGAGTTGCATACAGAGTTAATGGGAGATAACTTCAGGGTAGGTACTTACAGCCTAAGAGGGTTTTGGGGGTGGTTAGGAAATATCTCTTGCAGACTGTGACCTTTGAGTTGAGTCTAGAAGGAAGCAAGAGAAGCTAAGAGATCATTCCAGGTAGCAGGGATTGCTATTGTAGAAATGGGATATGGAGTGTGTGTGAAGAACAGCAAGTAGGTTAGTATAACTGTATTGTGGAGTTGTGTGGAGGGGAGTAGTTTGTAGAAAGAACCAGGTTGTCAGGAGCTTAAAAAGCCAGACAGAGGAGTTTAAATTTGATTTAAGAAGTTAATAGGGAGCTACTCCAGTTTGAACAATGGGGTGGCAGATCTGTACTTTAGGAAAATCTGTTTGGCAGTTGTGGGATGGATGGATTCATTGTGAGGAGTGGGGAGAGACGAGTCAGGGAGACTTACGGCTATAGCAGAGGTTCAGATGAGATAAGAGGGCTTGAATTAAGGTGATAACTGTGAGTAAAGGAGACAGGTGAAGTCTGATACAATATTTGGCAACTGATGTGTGAGGTGAATGAGAGTGATAAGAACACTGAGGTTGCAAACTTGAGTAACTGAAAGTGGTGCCAACAACAACATACAAGTTTAGAAGAGGGATAGGTTTTGGGGAAAAGATAAGTTCTGTTTTGGACATGTTGATTCTGAGATCTTAGATTGTGCAAGAGATAATTGCACCTACAGGAGCTGATAAGATGAAATGACATGAGTGTATATAGAGAAAAAGAGGGCCTAAGACAGGGCCTTGGGGGACACAGATAGTTGATGTGACATAGAAAATGATTCAGTGCATGAAACTGAGGAGTCAGGTAGGTAGGAGGAAGAACCAGAGGAGAATATTTGTGGAGATAAAGGTAGTCAGTAGCTAGCACTTAAAGGATAGCCGTTAAGTGGTGAGGTCAAATTTGAATTCTGTTCTTCCTGACTTCAGGTTCACTCCTCTATCCACTGTATCACCATGCTGCAGAGAGGTCAAGGATAATGAGCCAAATCTTAAACATAAAAGATACAAAGTCTTAAGAGTAAATTATGACTTAAAACTTGAGAAAAGAAACTATGAGTCCCACTTTGGGGCATAGTCATATCTATGTGGAAAATTTTTTCTAGTTCACTAACAATTGAAGTGAGCAGTTTTTCCCTCATTTGTCAACATTAGGCCTAACTTGTTCCTTGAGAAGTTTTTGTTTTCTACAAAACTAAGCCAATGCTAAAACCAAGGACTTTTGGACATAGCCTCAAAGCACTAATTTATGATCAATAAATATTTGTTAATTTTTCTTAAAATGATCTTATGTTTTAGGTTGCTGAAATTTTACAAGTACCTCCAATGAGAGTATATGAAGTAGCAACTTTTTATACAATGTATAATCGAAAGCCAGTTGGAAAGTATCATATTCAAGTCTGTACCACTACACCTTGTATGCTTCGAGATTCTGACAGCATATTGGAGGCCATTCAGAAAAAGCTTGGTATGGGACAGATTTTATTTGCATCATTAAAAAAAAAGAAAAAACTTGTTTTGGAGGAGTTTGATATAGACCCTGATTTCTTCTTTGGTAATCAACTTAATTTGCTATAGAAATGTACATTATGTTTTTGTGCAACTAAAGTATAAAAATTGAAACTAAAACAATTAAACCCAAGAATACAAATTTCAAAGGAACACTAGAGTATTCTACCAGGCTCCCGTTTCCACTAAGTTAACTTCTAATATGCTTATCTTTCTTTGTCTTAGACCTATTTTTTGCCTTCTTCTCAGCCTCAAAACCTTTCCCCTTCCAAACATTCCAGAAATCACTACTTTATTTGTTCTCTATAGCATTACCCAAGGAATCACTGAACAAATGAAATATGTACATTTCAACAGGCATTGGAATACTTCAGTGAGAGAAATCTTAAAATGTTATGGCAATGGCACATGTTTTATAAAGTGCCCAGTATATAAATTCATTTGTAACTTATAAATGTGCTCTCCTGGTTCTCCCTCCCTAACTCCTCAGTCTCATCTACTGAATCATTATCCATGTCACACCCACCCTAAGTGTCTCCCAAGTCTCTATCTAGGTCCTCCTATGGATGAAGAAACTGGCATTCAGAAAAGTTCTTTTTTATACTGCATCTAGTTGGTTAGCAAAGCTTGTTGATTTTACTTCTTCCACATCCATTCCTTCCTTTCTACTCAAACCACCACCCCCCTAATTTTTTCTTACCTAGATTCTTCACAGAACTGCAGAAACAGCCTTATATAATTACAGTTTTGACCATACCATTCCGCTAATGAAAAACCACCTTACATTTCATTTAAGACACTCCAGATAATCCAGATAACTTTTAAATTATTTTTTCTCCATGTTATTTCTCTTTATGTACTTTGCAAGTGATTTGCATTCTTCAGCATCTTTGTATGCATACTGGCCATTCCCCTTGTTCACATTCCTTCCATATCTCAAAAAATGTCACAGTTAGAAGGGACTTGAGAGGCCATAACATCCCAGTGAGAAGAATTCAGTATCTTCTGAGGCAGCCCACTTTATATTTGTATAGCTTTAATTACTGGGACTTTTTTCTCTTTCATCAAGCCTAGATTCGTCTTTGTCGATCTTCACCCTAATGTTCTCCACCATGCTTTCTCTACTTTTGTGTCTGTGCTTTCTCACATTTGTATTTTCTTAACATATAATGCTACTGAGCCACCTTCCTTCCAAACACTTTATCTTGCTTCTTTTGAATAAGGTATATACTTGTCCCTATTGTAATCAAGGTTCTCATCCCACCAAGGTTCAGTGATGCTTAGGAAGTCGAATTTAACTCCTTGAATCTCTAGTTCATCTTGTTAGTTATACTTTTATGTGTTTTTATATCTACATCTGAGGCCAGGGGCATTATTACTACTGGATCCTTTATTAGATTTTTTTTCTGCTGTGAATGTAGCATTCATTTCTACTGCTATTCACACTATATGTTATTTCCTCCCTCTGTATCTAGCTTAGTAAATATATATAGGCTGTTTTCTCCTTTTGCCTTTCTTTTTATTTAATAACCTTTTAAATGACATCCTCAAGACTCCAGGCAGTTATATTTTTGTTTTGTTGTTGTTTTTTCCTTTTTTGGGGAGGCAGTCAGGGGTAAGTGATTTGTCTAGGGTTACACAGCTAGTAAGTGTCAAAGTGTCTGAATACAGATTTGAACTCAGGTCCTCCTGACTCCAAGGCTTTATCTGCTGTGCCAGGCAACTGACCCAGGCAATTATATTCTTACCAGGCCTTGTTCAGCATACCCATTGCTGGGCATGGGCCAGTTATTTTATATTTTAAGCTGGGTCCAGAAATTCAAATCCCATTATTGGACACCATCGTCTTAATCAGAGCTTTATTTCCCAAATATGCCTCTTTTCTGAAGGTTTTGCAAAGTAATGAAAATATCTTTGGTGTTCCTGAGGACTTGAGTTTCTTAACTGGGTCTTCTTACTCGTTGATAATACTTTCTAGGTTCTTGCTGGCAGAATCATTTTGTGCCTCTCTGAATTACCAGAAGTGAATAGTAGTCATCCAGTTTGACAAGTCTTTTAAAGTTCTCTAATTGATTCTGGTCACATGTTATGGAAGGACAAAAGACTTTTCTAGTGTTGTTAAATTGACAAATAGCTGCCTCACAGTTCCTGAGCAGGCAGGCAGTCACCAGCCCACTACTACTTGTCTCTTCTTTCTCTGACCCTTAACTGTATATGATCTCCTAACTGTAGGTTCACATCATCATTCCTTGGAGGACAAGATGTTGTTTCCTTCTTAGAAGGTTTAGGTCTCTCTTCTTTAGGAAGTTTTATCTCTCTAAATGTTCAGTGGTCCTTCTTCACTTTCTCCTTTGTATGACGATCTTTTATCCATTAAACACCTGACATATCAGGAGACCCTCTCTGTCTTCAAATTCATTTTTTTTTCTTTTCATAATGAAGCCATTAAAAAATATTGATTCTCCTTGATAACCTACAGAGTGTTGAGACGTATTCTTTGAACCCTTATACTTTCCTCTTCTAGAAGAAACATCAGCCTGCACTTTGAACCAAGGTCATAATTAGGGCCATAGCAGAAAGACTAATATCACACATTATGTGCAGAAACTTCTCTTTGCTTTTCATGCTTTTTGGAAATAAGGTCCTCAGCCTCTGTTTGTCTTCCTGGTAGCTCTCTTGGCAAAGTCTCCTGAAGAATTCTCTTTACATAGTTAGCTCCTTCTCATGTCATGTTACTGAGGTCTCCAGTTCTCCTCTTCCTCTGTTCTTCTTTAAGCTCTTCAAAATTTTCCTTCTGCCCTTCTGACTTGGATCCTCTCCCCAAATCTCCCCCAATCTCCCCAAATTTCCACTTCCTTAATTCATTCTTCAGCCTTAATAATTATTAAGACATAATAAATAATAATTTTGCCTGCATATCCTTTTAGCTCCATTTCTTTCCTATTGTTCTCCTACTGAAGTTATAAAACAGAATTCCACTTGTTGAAATCCTATTCTTCCTTTAAGATCTAGTTTAGGTGCCCCCTTCATAAAGCTGTCCCGGATCCTCATCAAATCCTGCCCCCTTGGCTGAAAATGATGATCCCTCCTTAAATTTTCCTAGTACTCTTGTCTAGACTGTTTCCTTTATCCCTGTCATATTCTACACTGCATCATATTCATTTTATTCCTCTCTTAAGCCACTATTTAGAAGTAAGCTCCCTGAGTACAGTGCTGCAGCAACATAGTACCTTGTGTATGGTGGATGCTTAATAAATGTTTGCTGAATTGAATTGAATTAAGTGGTTTCCCCAGGTGAAACAGCTAAACCAGAACCCAGATATCCTGATTCTCAGATTTTCACATTAAATTTCTCAATCACAGTTATGCACTAAAAATTCTGGTGTGTTTTTTTTTTTGCTGTATTGTTAACTGACAAAGTAAACTAGCAAAGACAAATTTGAGAACTTTTGTGTACAATAGACACGATTATTAAAAAATTACTTTTTAAAAAACCCTCCTTGATATTAGTAGCTATTAAAATTTAATCTTTTCTTTTTAAGACTTATAATGTTTTGAAATGCTCTGTGATCAATATTTAAAACTGGCCAAATCCCAAAAGGTAGATTTATATGTTAAAATGTGGACTTTAGTAGTAATCATTTCTTTTTTTTAGGTATTAAGGTTGGAGAAACTACACCTGACAAGCTTTTCACGCTAATAGAAGTGGAATGTTTAGGTGCCTGTGTAAATGCACCGATGGTTCAAATAAATGATAATTACTATGTGAGTATTTCACTTTCATTAAGTTTAGAATTGTGTGGGATAGTATCTTGAAATGCTTTTAAATAAGTGGAGTTTTGATTTCCTTTGTTTTCCCTAGTTTATCTAGTCAGGAGAAATAGTTATTACCTCCTCTTCTGAGTTCATCATGAAGACATATGAAGTGAGTTTTTTTCCATATCCACAAAAGCACTTGAAATACTTAAAGATGTCCATTGTGAAACACTGTTTTCATATTCAATATGAAAATATTTCATTCAAAAATATTTCATATTTTTATACTCTTAGCATGTGCCAGTTCACATTAATGATAGTGTTCTCTTTTGTTGGGAACATTAGCAATTTAGTCATTGGGCAAAAATCAGTAAAATGACTGGTGATAAGACAAAAATAATCCTTAGTCTTCTACTATATTATGTTGCAATGTTACATTTTCATAGAAAATTTTTCTTTTTCATGTGAGGATTAAGCTTTCTACCCAGGCAAGTCTATCATGGAGTAGTTCAGAAAAAAAATATTTCATTTGTAATATTTGAAAGATTTCATTGTCTTAGCTTTTTCTTTTTAACATAATTGCTGTGTCCTAGTGATCATAACTCCTTTTTTAGACATATATCTGATAGGACTTGTTTCTTCTTCTGTGGCTAAGGTCTGTTTTTCTGATATAGCTTCTATCAGATTCTGCTTTAGTACCTTAATATATCACTTCAGGACTGCATGAATGTGTGATTTCACTGTTGTGGAAATTTATGTTCGTGATATTGGTAGTTTGCAAACCACAAAGTGCCATGTAAATGCTAGTTTGCTAGTTAGTTAACTAGATCCTCGTGTTAATAGGGAGACACTGGAGTTTGAGTAGGTGGGTGGGTGACAGACACAGACTTACACTTCAGGAAAAATCACTTTGGGAACTGAATGGAAGGTGGATTGCAGTTAGGATAGATTTGAGGCAAGGAAACTAATTAGAACAGGAGTTCTTAACCTGAGCCCTATGATCTTGGTTTCACCCCCCCCCAAATATTTTGATAACTGTTCTTCAGTAAAATTGGTTTCCTTTGTGATCTGGTGTATCTTAGGCATTTAAACATATCCTGAGGATTCCATATTTCATTAGGCTGCAAAAGGGGTCTATGATAGAAAAAAAATTAAGAACCCCAAAATTAAAAGGTTATTTCAATCATCCAGGTGAGACATGATCAAGGCCTACCTGTACTAGCGTCATAGCTTTGTGAGTAGAAAGAATGGCCCATTTGAGAGAGATTGTGAAAGTAGAAATGACAAATTTGGCTATAGATTGGATATTTGAGGTGTGAATGAGGAATCAAAGATGACCTCAAGGCTGCAAACAGAATAGTAGTGTTTTCAGTAGTAATAGGAAATCTGGGAAGAGGGGGAAGTTTTGGGGGAAGACATTTTAGACATTTAGAGTTTGAGATGCCTATGGAACATCCAGTTCAAGATGCCTAAAAGATACTTAGTGATGTGGAACTAGTGCCTCAGGTGAGACTAGTGCTAGATATATAGATCTAGGAGTCATGTGCATAGATATAATAATTAAACCCATGGGAGCTGATGGTCATCAAAACTGAGATAGTACAGAAGAAAAAGTGGGCCCAGGATAGAACCTTCAGGGACATTCAGGGTTAATGGATAGGACTTCAAAGGACATCCAGCAAAGGCAACAAGGAATAATGGTCAGAAAGCTAGGTAAATCAGGAGAAAGAAGTGTCATGAAAACCTAAAGAGGAGCTTACATTCTACTGGAAGGAGGTGGAGGAGGAACAGCATGTACTGAAGTAATGCAAAATAATAACAAGCAAGAAATAGTTCAGGATGATGAGGAAGGGCCTTGTGGAGAAGTAGCACCTGAGATATGCTTTAAAGAAACCCAAGGGTTCTTTGAGGTGGAGATGAGTAAGAAGAGGAGTGTATTCTAGACTTAAGATATCACCTGTGCAAATGAACAGAAGGAGATTAATGTCATGTTCAGAGGGCAGCTAGTAGACTGGGAAAGGAGAATTTGTAAAGGGGAGTAGTATGAAATAAGACTAGGAAAGTAGATGGGAGCCAGATTGTGGAGGAATTCAGATGCTAGGCAGAGGCTTCTGTCTTTTATCCTGTAGGCACTAGGGAGTCACTGAGGTTTTGAGTGAAATGATTAGGAATGGCCATGACATGGTCAGGCCTGTGCTTTAGGAATATGAATTTGGCAGCTGTGTGGAGGATGAATTAGAGAGATGATGAAGGCTTGAATTAGGATAGAAGCTGTGTGAATGGAGAGAAGGGATCATAGCATCATAGATTTAATGTTAGATGGGACCTTAAGGCCATCTAGCTGACCACCTTCTTTCCCTCTCCCCCTCCCATTTTAGATGTGAGGAAACTTGAGGCCCATATTAGTTAAGTGACTTTTGTAGGGTCAAACAGACTTTGTAACAAGCTTGGATATGGGGGTTGAGGAAAAGTGAAAGAATCAAGGATGACTCCAAAGTTTTGAAAATGAGTGAATGAAAGGATAGTATAGTCATCAACAAATTGGGAAATTTAAAGGAATGGATTTAGAGAAGAATTTTAATCAGTTCTGTTTTGGATATGTTGAGTTAACAGTGCGTATGGGTCTTCAAGTTAGAGATGTACATTAGGTTGTTGGTAATGAGATTGGAATACAGGAAAGAGATCCAGGACAACGTAGATTCTGGGAATCATCTTTGTGCAGATGGTAACTGAACCCATGGGAGCTAAGAGATCATCAAAGAAGAGACAAGAGCCCAGAAGAAAATCTTGGGGGATATATGGCCTGGAAAGAGAGAAGAGATAGAAAGTACATTTAAGGAGATTTAAGTAATACTGATTAATCTCCCCTGAAGGTAAGGCTTGTTAGGTTGATCATGTGATATTTATTGGTTTATAAGTTCAGGATTCATTTTGTAATTTTGTAATCAAAGAATTACATTTCCTAGTTTGTTGAGTTTCTACCAACTTATAAATATTGGTCAGGAATGCAATTTTGGGGGGGTAAATTTTTATTTTATGTTAAATATAAAAGGGAGAAGAGAAAAAACATTGTCATTTTCACAGCAGACGATGAGAAGAGGATTCAATATAAAACAATAAATTTCCATTTCAGGAAAACCTATATAATAAATAGTACATACTATTTTCAAAGCTGCCCAGCTTTTGTTTCCTTGTTGGTTTTCTTTTGTTATCTGCTGTGAATTTTAAACTTTTAATCCCCCGCCCCCAAGAAAGTTACAATTAAGTGTGGATAATACATACATACATATACACTGATATGTCTATAAATACAGACATATATACACATACACATATATGTAAGACCATACTGTGCTTATTTCCTCCTGTCATCTGTTTCTCTGAAAGTGGATAGCATCTTCCTTCATAAATCCATGTCTTGCCATGTATTTCTAAATGAACCAGCTCATCATTTCCTACACCACAACAATATTCCTTTCTAGATTCAAACAGCATCTTCCTTCATAGGATTTTTGTGGTTAATTTGAGTATTTATAATAGTCAGAATGACTTGATTGCTCAAAGTTTTTCTTAAAACAATACTGCTGATAGTGTATACAGTGTTCTCTTGGTTCTGCTCATTTCACTCTTGATTATTTTGTGGAGGTCTCCATGCTTTTCTAAAATCATTGAGCTCATCATTTCTTACAGCAGAGTAATATACTATCATGAACATGTACCGCAATTTGTTTAACCATTCCCCAACCGATGGACATCCCCACGATTTCCAGTTCTTTGTCACCACAAAGAGAGCTGCTATAAATATTTTAGAATATGTAGGTTCTTTTCCAGTTTCCTTAATCCTCTTGGGAAACAGACCTAATAATGGTATGGCTGGGTCAAAGGGGGCAGTTTAATAGCTCTTTGGGCATAATTCCAAATCTCTCTTCAAATGGTTGGATCAGCTCACAGATCCACCAACAATGAGTTATGGTCCCAATTTTTCCACATCCCCTCCAGCATTTGTCACTTTCCCCTTCTATCATTTTAGCTAATCTGATAGGTATAATACAATGTCTCAAGGTTGTTTTAATTTGCACTTCTCTAATCAATAATGATTTAGAGCATTTTTTTCATATGACTAAATTGTTTTGATTTCTTCATCTTAGAACTGCCTATTCATATCTTTTGACCATTTATTAATTATGGAATGACTTGCATTCATATAGATTTGACAAAGTTCTTTATATTTTTGAGATATGAGACCTTTATCTGAGGACGTCTATAAAATTTCCCCCCCCAATTTTCTGCTTTCCTTCTGATCTTGGCTACATTTATTTGTACAAAACTTTTTAAATTTAATGTAATCAAAATTATCCATTTTATATCTTAGAAACACTATCTCTTGTTTGTTCATAAATTGTTCACCTATCCATAAATCTGATAGGTTATATGTTACATGTTCTTCAAATTTTCTTATATCATCTCCCTTTATATCTAGATCATGTATCCATTTTGATTTTATCTTGGTAATTAGTGTAAGATATCAGCCTATGCCCAATTTCTGCCACACTGCTTTACAGCTTTCCCAACATTTTAACCAAATGATGAATTGTTATCCTAAATCTTTAAGTCTTTACACTTGTCAAACACTGGGTAACTATATTCATTTGCTGCTGTAGATCGTGTCTACTCTGTTCCACTGCTCTACCTTTCTGTTTCTTAGCCAGTACCAGACAGTTTTGATAATTACTGCCTTATAATAGTTTAAGATCTGGTACTGCTAAACCTCCTTCCTTTACATTTTTTTCCATTAGTTCCTTTGATATTCTTGACCTTTTGTTCTTCCAAATGAATTGTTATTTCTAGCTCTGGAAAATAATTTTGTGGTAATTTAATTGGGATGGCATCAAATACATAATTTTGGTTAAATTGTTTTTATTAGTCCCACCTACCTATGAACAATTAATATTTTTCCAATTATTTAAACCTGATTTTATTTACGTACAAAGCTTTTTATGGTTTTGTTCATATAGATCCTGGGCTTGTTTTGGTAGGTATATTCCCAGGTATTTCATACTGCCTAGAGTTATTTTAAATAGAGTATTTCTAGCTATCTCTTCCAGTAAGATCCTGTTTATAATATGGAAAGCTGATGATTTATGTGGGTTTACTTTATATCCTGCTACTTTGCTGAAATTAATTATTTCAGTTAACTTTTTTGTTGAGTCTTTAGGATTTTCCAAGTTATATCATCTTATCATCTGGCAAAAAAAAAGTTTTATTACCTCATTTCCTATTCTAACTTCTTCTATTTCTTTTTCTTCTCTTATTGCTATTGCTAGGATTTCCAATACAATATTGAATAATATTGGTGACAGTAGGTATCCTTGTTTCACACCTGATCTTACTGAAAAGGATTCTAGCTTATCCCCATTACAAATAATTCTTGCTAATTGGTTTTAGGTAAATGTTTCTTATCAATTTAAGGAAAAGTCCATTTATGCCTAGACTTTCAAGTGTTTTTAAGAGAAATGAGCATTAGACTTAATCAAATGCTTTTTCTGCATCTATTGATATTACATGATTTTTGTTACTTTTATTATTGATATACTCAATTATGTTAATAGTTCTCCTTACGTTAGATCATCCCTGTCTTCCTGGTATGAATCCCGTTTGGCCATAATGTATAATCTTTGTAATAATGTATAATCTTTGTTGTAATCTTTTAGCTAGTATTTTATTTAGGCTTTTTGCATCCATATTCATTAATGAAATTGGTCTATAATTTTCTTTCTCTTTTCGTGGTTTAGGTATCAGTATTCTATTTGTTTTTCTTTTTTTGCAATTAGCAATTTTTTCTCTGAAATTTTTTGATTTTTGAAGTTTATTCCACCAAAAAGTTGTTTACCTCTACAGGCATTAGAGAGGCAGCATGCCATATTGGATAAAGAGCTCACTTAAGAATCAGCAAAGCCTTGATTTAAGACCCACGCTTAGACATACTGGGCATTAGACTGACATGGTCACTTAACCTTTCAGTACTCCTGGCAATCTCTTAAAGATTGCACAGAGCTGGGGACCATCTATGTTAGTAGTGGGAGTTTTCTCATCAGTAGTTCTCTATACCATTTGTGTCAAATAAAAATCCTTGCTGTCCTTATGTTGACTTGGTTTTAAAATGTAATGTCACCTATGTTTTATTGTATTGTATTTCTCAATTACATTTTAATCTAGATCAGTCTGCACTAGAAGTGTGGTGACAACCTGTGGTCTGTAACAATGAAATCACAGGTCCAGTCTAGGAGAGAAAACCCATAAAAACGAAGATTTTCCTGAAATGGACAAGCTTGGTATTACCAGGAGTATTTAAGTATTTAAGTTCATTGTGTTTGGGCAGTGTCTTCATTTCAAATATGATACCTCTGATAATGTCATATAATAGGTCACACTTGTATCCCTACAATCACCTTACAGTTTTCTTAGAAGAGGAAGAAACAAGCTCAAAGAAGTGTTCTCTTAACTCTACCTCCAGTTCTTTTTCATACCCTATGCTGCCTGTCTGCCCCGTCATGTACACTAGATCTTAATCAGTGGAAGTGTTCTCAGCTACCTGGAAAGAAAATAGCCTTCACTATTATCTGACCAAAAAAAGTATTAAAAATGTTTTATGTCAGGGGTGAGGAACCTGCAGCCTTTAGGCCACATGTGGCCCTCTAGGTCCTTATGGGTGGCCCTTTGACTGAATTCAAACTTCACAGAACAAATCCCTTTAATAAAAGGATTTGTTCTGTAAAACTTGGACTCAGTCAAAAGGACCTAGAAGGCCACATGTGGCCTCGAGGCTGCAGGTTCTCCACCCCTGGTTTATGTAGTATATTGTAATCACGTGTTCAACAATCTAAAATAATTTAAAATCTTTTATTTTGCTCATAGGAAGATTTGACACCTAAGGATATTGAAGAGATAATTGATGAGCTGAAAGCGGGCAATGTTCCAAAACCTGGACCAAGGTCTGTTTTTATTTATATAACACAAATGTAAATGTTTACATGTCTTTAAAGGAATTATTTGTTCCTTCCGTTTACAGGTATTGGAAGTGACTTTAGAGGTCATTCAATCCAACTTTCTCCCTAAAGCAGGAATCTTTACTACAATTAACATCCTTATCAGATTAAGTCTCCTTGAAAACAGTGATAGGAAACTCACTATCTCATAATTAAGCCCATATAAAGTTATTTTGATCCAAAATATGCTCTGTTATATTCTGTCTCCCAGTTCTCATTCTACCACTAGAAACAACACAGTATCTAACCTGCTTCTTTGTACATGGCAGAACTCCAAATATCTATCATATTCCCCTTAAGTCTTCTCTTTCCTGGGCTAAGCACCTCTAGATTTTTCCTCGTGTAACACAATTATCACACCTTCTAGCAGTAGTACTTCTTCACCACTCTTTTATGGGTGTTTAGAATATGACAGGACTCCAAATATGGCCTCAGATCCATAACTTATGAGAATTCTACTTTACTCTGCATAACTATGTTATTGTGTCCCTTTAGCTGAATATGAACTTTAGGTTACTTTTTTATTTTATCAGCTACTTCAAACTGTTAGTTCATACTGAACCTTGGATTAACTAGAATTCTCTTTTGTTTTTCCCTGTGGAAGGGCCATTAAACTACTCTTCTGTTTTATAATTCTAAGGTTGATTTTTTGTTTGTTTGTTTGTTTTTGTTTTTAGGCAATTGGGGTTAAGTGACTTGCCCAGGGTCACACAGCTAGTAAGTGTCAAGTGTTTGGTCTGAGGTCAAATTTGAACTCAGATCCTCCTGATTTCAAGGCCGGCGCTGTATCCACTGCGCCACCTAGCTGCCCCTATCTACGGTTGATTTTTAAATGAAAGTCGTTTCATTTTTTTTAATTCTTTTTTTTTTAAAGTTTCTGTACATTAAAGCCATTTTCCTAGATCCTTTTGACTTCAGATTTTGCCAGCTAATGAATTATCCCGGCTTTGTCTCACCATTTTTGATGAGTGTTTTTCTTGCCTTGTAAAAATGGTGAAATGAGGTAGAGCATACCAATTACATAGCTCTATGGCATGCCACTAGAGAATCTCCGTTTGATAGCTCTCCCTTCAGTCAACGTTTTTCAAGTTTTGTCGCTCAAAGAGTTCTCTATAAATCCACTGAGTTACGTAGTCTAGATTTCTTTTATCTTGTCCAAGGGCATACCATGAGACCATCAAATGCCCTGCTAAAAAATCAAGATATATACTGTGTCTGTCATCTCTAGTAGCACTACCAAAAAAGGAAACATTAGTTCCTTGTGCCATGTCCTTAGGAAAGAAGAAGTGATTCATAGGAACTAATATGCATTCATTAATTGCTCACACACAATTTTTTAATATCAGGATTTAAAATTTTTAGTATTTTATTTTTTGTAATTATGTGTAAAGACAATTTTCAATATTCATTTTTACAAAATTTTTGAGGTCCAAATTTTTCTCCTTCCCCTCCCCACTTCCTAAAACAGTAAGCAATTTGATATAGGTTATATATGTACAATCGTGTAAAACATATTTCCATGTTAGCCATGTTGTGAAAGAAAGACCAAAAGGGGGAAAAAAAATGAAAATAGTATGTTTTGATCTGCATTCGGACTCCATCAATTCTTTCATTCATAGTTATCACTACACAGTGTTGCTATTACTGTCATAGAATGTTCTGGTTCTGCTTCTTTCACTTTGCATCTATTCATGTAAGCCTTTCCAGGCTTTTCTGAGATCCGCCTGCTCATCAGTTTTTAAATCTTTAATTAGCTTTTTTTAATGCCAAAGGTCAGCAACATTTGTACTAATCTGTATACTCTTAGATCTAGCTTATTTATTTGAAAACTGAGATACTATTTACCTATCTCTGTGATCTTTTGGCACTTTTCCTCTTCTCTCTGATTTCCCAAAGTTAAATCTTTCCATAGGATCACATCTAAATTCACTACTTTGTGATGTTATTTATCTGAATCTGGAGACTTGGCTTTGAAGTTAAACTGCACAATTAAGTTTTCCTAAGTTTTTCTCCAAAGAGATAATAAAATTCACCACCTTCCTTTCTAATCCTTTGCAGAGGTGTGGGGAACTTAAATATCCTATCAGCTATGTTGGTGTGTTGCTTAATTCTGAACTACTTGTTTTTTGGGGTTTTTTTTTGTTACAAGGTAAGGAGAGGGACTTGGAAATGAAGATAATATAAACATAAGAGAAATCTACTTTTTTGAATTTTAAAACCATTTTCCTTGATGCAAAGTTACTGAGTATAATTCCCTTTTCATTTGTTAATGTTCAGCTATCTGGCTCAGACTGGGCCTGACCCATTTCCTTTTCTTACTATTATGAACATAGCTTTAAAAATGAGCATTGTAATTTTTCCTAAGTCTCAGCTTCTTCTAGACTTTTTATTTAGCTTTTATGATAATGCTCTGATAAATTTGTTCTACATTTGTATTTATCCTTGACGATAAATGTGATTTCTTTCATTTTTTTGTAGTTGTCATTTTAAAACATCATCTCAGATGTCTCCCTATTCAGGCATATTCATTTAATTGTTCTCCTTTTCTGAACAATGTTTCTTGAGAGTTTTTCATTTTGTTGTGATCTCCCTATGCCCCTTCACTATAATAAATGCTATGGAGGGGCAGCTAGGTGGTGCAGTGGATAGAGCACTGGCCCTGGATTCAGGAGGACCTGAGTTCAAATGCAGCTTCAGGCACATAACACTTACTAGCTCTGTCACCCTGGCAAGTCACTTAACCCCCACTGCCCATCCAAAAAAAAAAAAACTGCCATGGAAATCTTCAGCTGCCAAATTATACTACAAATTATGCTTCATATTTTCATTATTCCTTAACCCTAAAAATTCCCGCTAACCTTTGTGTTAATTGCATTTGTCTACAATGCCCTTGGAGACATTAGACTGAGTTCAATAAGTAGATCCTGTCAACCAGGAGTGGATCTGAGCCTCAGACTTAAAATGTAGATTTTACAAAAGAATTTTGTTAGCCATGCCTTCTTGCATTTCTATTTGGGAGACCCTTTCCATTATTTATAAGGTAGAGATTATTCCATTTAGCATATTGGTTAGCAATATAGCTCCCACTAGTGAACTCTGTTTTTGACGTTTAACTGGAATATATAAATTAAGAATATTTCGGCATCTGTCCAAATTTTTTTAAACTTTACAAAATTGAGGCATCTTGTCAATTCTTTTTTAAAAAAGTTTTTGAAGTTAAACTGCACAATTAAGTTTTCCTAAGTTTTTCTCCAAAGAGATAATAAAATTCACCACCTTCCTTTCTAATCCTTTGCAGAGGTGTGGGGAACTTAAATATCCTATCAGCTATGTTGGTGTGTTGCTTAATTCTGAACTACTTGTTTTTTGGGGGTTTTTTTTGTTACAAGGTAAGGAGAGGGACTTGGAAATGAAGATAATATAAACATAAGAGAAATCTAAAATTCATGTTTTTTGCTGTCTTTTTGTTTTTATGTTACTCATTTCTGAATCTCTCTATAGTATATCCTATTCAGTGATTGTTTGACAGTATTGCAAAGTACCTTTTCATTTATTTATTATTATGGTAATGACATGAAGATAAATGAAATCCAGGTACAGAAATCTCCAAAGTTCAATTCCTACCAAATCTTTTATCAGTACTAAATAGCAAAATTCAGTAGCTTCAGTGTAACTTTTCTTTGTCTATATTGCTGCTGGGTTTTTGTTTTTGTTTTTTTCATTTTATTTTTTGGTGAGGCAATTGGGGTTAGTGACTTAACCCAGAGTCACACAGCTAGTAAGTGTTGTGTCTGAGGTCGGATTTGAACTCAGGTCCTCCTGACTCCAAGGCCAGTACTCTATCCACTGTGCCACCTAGCTACCCCTGGAAGTTTATTTTTTAAAAAAAATTCTTTGGTAATCAAGATATAGGTGAATACAAATGAAGTAAACACATTCTTTTAGTCCAGACCACCTCTGAATTGACTAACATTTGCAAATGTTTGGGGTTTCCATTGTGAAGGAAAACTGCCACCCCTCTAGTGTTCATAGGAAAGGCAGTATCTTAGAGAACAAAAAGCACTTACTGCCTCTCAAGTCACAAGAGGTGGGTTCAGATCTTGCCTCTGATGTTTTGCTATGTAATAGGATCATGGACAATTCCTGGGCTTCAGTTCTGTTGTCTATAAAATGAGAGCATTGGACTAGATGATCTAAACGATCTCTTCTTGCTCTAAATCTATGATCTTTTAATTTAGTGTTAATAAACTCAAAATAGAAATATAAAAGTATGACTTCCATTTTGTTTTAGGTTAATACTTTTAAATTAAATTAAATATTTGGGCCCCTATTATGTGAAGAGTACTTTGCTAATTTATTTCTGAGATTTTTAAGTGAATCCAGAAATACCGAGTAGTATTCTAAAACATCAAAGTGCTCACTATGGTTAGAGCTTTTATAAGATTGTTAGATAAGGATTAGGGAGTAGATTTTTAAAATCCCATTTAAATTTTTGCTCATTGAATCCAATCAAAGTATATGGTTTGACAGCCATGTTTTGTGAGGTAAGAAAAGGAAAAGGGGGATTACAGAACAGAACTAAGACCATAGGGAAGCCCAGAGTTCCAGGGTCCTTTGATTAGTGATATCTGACCTTATGCACATCCCCTTTTATAATTTTTTTATATTAAAAATAAGATTAGCATGAAAGGATCAACAATTAGGGAACTTCGGTGTGAAATGCTATTTTTCTATAATTTTCTGGTCCCCCAAAGGCCAAATTTGAGAGTTTGGATGTGTTAAAGTTAAGGTGAAGCTAGCAATGGGAGATAAAATTAATTTACTTTTGGAATTTACTGTGAAGAAAAAGTATAGGCAAGTAGATGGCATTTCAAGCATGCACATTAAGGAAATAATCCATTTCATGTAGTATTTAATGTGGGAAAATCCTAGCATGAACTGAAGAAATCAAGAAACATTGTCAACTTTCATGTTTATTACCCACTTGGAACTTCAGTTCTTTTCTGCTATAAAATGGATTGAGATTCAGATTCTTGGTTTAGACATTTTTATCTCTTCTGTTAACAAACACGTTGCACTAAGGAACTGATAAAAATCTATATTTGAAAAGGTCACTGACTATCTGTCCAAATAGAATAGAGGCATAAAAATCAACCAACAGGAAGTACTTTAGAAAACCAAAACACTAAAATTAGATACCAGTCTTGCCTTCCCTTGTGAAAGTATCATTTAAGAGAGCTAGTTTATAAAAAGCTGAAAGCTGCACAGATAGTGACAGTGTATGATTTAGCAAGCCTGGGGAGGAAGGAAAGTTAGAAATGGATTAGGAACTGAATGAGCCCAGTATCCATGAACATTTTCTGAGTGAAGACAGGATAAATTATCAGAGAATAGGAGAGATGAAAATAGGTAGGGGTTGAGCTGGGATCTGTTAATGTGATATATCAGATAGTGTTGAGACTGGAAAGATGATTTTAGGGACAGGAGAGTTGACAATAGAGTAAGATAGGTTGTTACCTCTACTCTAACATTGTTTCTATATATAGATCTTTGTTAAAATAATCTCCTTGAGAGCAGGAATTGTTTTATTCTTTGTATTTGTATCCTTAGGGCCTAGCCCCTAGTAGGTGATACATCAAATAATTTCTTATTGATTGCTTCTTCTGAATCTGCAGTCTTTCATTTTTATTTCTGTGCTAGTCACCTTGCTTGCTCCAGTAGCTGTACTCTTCATCCAAAGGATATTTTTAGATAATCCTAACAACAACATATCCTCTTATCAAAAAGTGCAAATTACACATATGCTTTGACTTTGCTTCTCATGACCCAGAGGCATTATTTTCAAGCAACCCAGAAAATATTCTCAAAGCCACGAAGAACCCAGTACTTCTATTTCCAAATATAGTAATTGTAAAGAGAATTATATGCAATACTGTCTAGGCAGACAGGCTAAACCAGGTTGAGGGTAACTCACAGGCCTCAAACCAGTCAGTGAATTAGGGCAATGTCTAACCCACATGTGGAAACTTCCACAGCAGAATGGGCAGGTGAAAACAGTTTGTTCCAACAGCTATGAATGCAGCTGAAGCAGGTGCTGTGGAGTGCTTAGAGCTTGGTCAGATATCGAAGAAACCAAGGTCATCCACTGCATCCTGGGCCATTGCCAGTCATCTTGACTTTTGTCTTGCCACTGGACTTAACGTGATTGGAAGAGAAAGTGAAGCTGATAACTGCAATTCTGCCTCACTGAAATCCAATTCACATGCAAGTCAGGACATCACCCAGTGATGTCATTGATCTTCAAGTACAAAGGACGACCTACATGCAGTACTGAACTTCATTTCATTCATTGCAACAGATTTCTATTTAAATGAAATTCCAAAATAAAGGTCCTAAGTTCACAGATTTAGAATTGAAGGAACTTTAGAAGTGAACAAGTATAACCCCTTCATTTTATAGATGAGGAACGTAAGGCATGATGAAGTTAAATTTTTTGTTCGAGGTCAGACAACTAGTTAAGAGCATATTTGAATTTTCAAAAGATGGCTTTTGGTTATCCATGCCACTGTCATTTATTTGCTGAAGTAATAATTTGTTTGCTCCCATTTTTAATCTATTTTTACCATCTTTTCCTTGTAGAATTGTGGGAAATTTTCATGTATCTATTACTATATCTTTTAGGAGTGAAAAAGGAATAAATGATAGTTTTATTTAAATCAAGCCAGTTACAGGTTAGAAGATGAGACAACCCTTAAGAATTTAGTCTATGATTTCACTTTGAAAAGGGCTGAACAATAAAGATTCGTTATTTTATTTCTTGGGTTTTTGAACTTTAAAAAAAGTTATTTAATACCTACCTTTCTACTTAATAGTTCTAAATCCTTTGGGGCTATTAGTAAAATCTCTCGAATAAATGATTTTTTTCCCCTTTTTTTTTCTTCTTCAAGGAGTGGACGTTTCTCTTGTGAGCCAGCTGGTGGTCTTACATCTTTGACTGAGCCACCCAAAGGACCTGGTTTTGGTGTCCAATCAGGCCTCTAAGTAATTTATATGAATTTGTCTAAAAACCCAAACAGACCTGTGAAAATATTTCTCTGTACATTTAAAATAAATTAAAACTAATCTCCTCATCTATGCAAATGTTCAATATTGTATATTCTGGTTTGTGTTTACCCTGGTGGTGATATAGCCTTTATAATTGTAAATACCATGTAAAAACTACAAAATATCCTCTTAAAACCTTTTGGGTGCAGTGGCTCATAAGATCACATAAGCTGTAGGCATGAACATTTTTTTCCAACTGTATCCATTTCAGCAGCACATTCAGTTCACATTTGACGTGAAAAAGTATCTTGTGACAATAAAGTATGGTTTTTATCACATTTCAGTTTTTAAAATTACATTTTGATATTCTTTTTATTATAATTTATTATAATTACAATTGAGTTAATATAAATGTTCTCTAAAATACTATCTGTCAGTATTTCCTCCAAGCAAATATAAGATTAATAATAATAATACTAATGATGATAGCTAACATTTATATAAAACTTACTATGTGCCAGGCACTGTTCCAAAGATGTATATATTCATACAAGTATATCATTGTATTTTCCAAATAGTAATTTACTCCAGGAATGCTTTAGGTAGTAGGATAAGGAAATTATCTTGTTTTCAAAACCATCATTTTAAAAAGGAAAGCTTCATAGATACACTAAAGTTGTCTTTGGCTGTTCTGAGTTAGAAAGATTACTAACAAGTCAGACATTCTTGTTAGATGTATAGATAACACAAAATATTTTTTCTATTTAAGTAAAAATAACCCATACTATTATAATAATTTTACAGAGTTGAAAAAGTTAACGTCTTTTACCTTGGCATACATAGGTAAATATCTATTACGTTTATTTAGGGTTTCCTCAAAATCACTTGTCTTAAGAGATAACTGAATTTTCTGCTAGCAAACATCAACAGCCCAAAATCACAACTGTGTTCTCTTAACCCATTCCTGAATGAAGCTTAAAAATATTATTTTAGAAATACTCTGTTCTCTGCTAAAGCCTTTTATGATATTCTTTTTACCTTATCTATAAAATTCTGAAACACAAAGGCATAGCTGGATATGGTTGGATTTTTTTATTAGTAATGTCTATTTAATGCTTAATATACAGAAATATTAAATATTAATTTTTAAATTAGAAAGATAAAAGAGCTGTAGCAAGGACCTTGAAACAAAGTTATTTAAAGCCTGTTAGGCATCAATTACTATATAATGTGTTAAGAGAATGGAACAGAAGAAAGCATTTTAGGTAAATGTCACAAAGATCTATAATTCTGTCTTCCACCAATGCAGATTGCAAATAACTCTTCTATTATTTAGTAGATGGTCTTTTAGAGTTACCTTACAGTCAGTCTGGCTTTGAGCCTCCCTGAATTAAACTAGACTGATCTACAGACATACAGACTCCCATGAGGCCCACACTCAATGCTTTTCTAGTTTGGTAGAACCTACCCAAGTTTATTCTTTGCTTACATAACCTTCAGGAACCTAGGGTGTTAATTCCATGATAAGGCATCATAGGATTTTAGTTGAGAAAACATGCTAAAGATAATGTTAATATATATGATGATAATTTTGCTTTAAATTAAAGTTTCAGATAGCTTAGACCTTGTGTAAAATATGCAAGATGCCTTACAGTATGTTCAGAGTACAATCTGTGCTTCATATCTACAAAAACTCCCAATTTGCACATTTTATCACAGCATATGTATGATTATCACTTGAATTTTGCATTTTTATGTTGCCAAAGCCAGGACACCAATTTTAAAGATTTTATTTATTTTTATATACGTATTTAAAATGTAAAGTCCTTTTGCAGGCAAGATCTGCTTTCTTTTGGCCTTTGTATTCCCAGGGCCCAGCAATGTAGTGCCTGCCATACAGTTAGCACTAAATAAATGCTTAAGACAAACCTTACATCTGTATGAGTAAATTCAATTAATAATCTATACTGTTTTTCAAAACAACATGAAATCAGTGTAAGAAATCACATTTCTAAACTGCTCAGCTAGTAATGAGAACTGTTCCCCAGTGAGTTTATGGCAAATTAGTCTAGGTAAGAAAGATGCTGTGAAACGAGTAGGGACTCATTATGCACTTCCTGCCCTTAAATCTTTTGCTTTTTTTCAGTGGGAGAGTTAAAGGGCAATTTACTGCTTAACAGCAAATTGATTAGCCCTTTAAAGAGTTCAGCTTTTTTCTTAATCTCTATTAGTATATTATAGTACTTGTCATGGACAATGGCCATTATGAAGAATAAGAATTAAAAAAAGCATCTCGACAAAAAGAATTACTGTATGAATATTACAAGGGCCAGAAAGTTTTCAATTCTATACCAATTGTGTGAAATTTCTTGTGACTAGATTAACATTAACCACTCCAAGAATGAAAAAATAATCGTATACAGATTTCTTCTTTATAGTAGTATGCTACGACAGCATTTGAACTATGTAGCTAAATCCATTTAATAACAAACTGATAATGTTGTACTTCAAGGTTTGCAGATTGCTTAGCAATCTAGAGAAGCAAGTGTTATTACCCTCATTTTACAGATGAAGGAACTGAGATTTATAGAGGTTACCTGACATATCCATAATCATACAGAACTAAGTGTCAGAGGCAAAATTCGAATCCTTATTGGAATTCTGGGTCCTTCCGATTCCACTTCAGACTTCACTTCCTGCTTTTGACACACATTGGCTGGATAATCTTAGGCAAGTCACTTAACCTCTCTGTGCTCTAGGCAGAGATATCATCCAGGAGTTCCTTATACCAATTAAATCACAGGTCCAGTTTCTATCCTTGTATTTGTTAGTGATTGTGTTTTTTATGACATTTAAACCAAAAGAAAAGGGCACAAGCTCACTCAAACTACAAATACATGATAGAAGCCTTAAATTCAATGAGTTCCCCATTCAGGGTAACTATTGGTTCAATAAAGTGTCTTGAAAATTCAGAATTACAAATGACAAAAACCTGAAGTAGAGCAGGGATCTGGTATGTTAGGTTTTTAATCACCCCATACATTAATTTTTAGCACAATGAGTTTTTTTTAAATGTCTTTACTGCTGAAGAAGTTTCTACCAAGGAAAGGCACTGCTGTGTGTCATCAGCTACTTTACTTCAGTGTACAAATGGGGAATAAAAGTTTTTTTATCAGGCTTCCTGCCAGAACACATACCTCTATCAACTACCTTAGCAAAACTGTCTTCCAGGGCCAAGTACAATGCTCTTCCAAGAGCTGCTACTTAATATGTTTTGTTGAATTTAATGATACTTTCTATCATCTAGGTCTGGCTTTAATTTCTTTGAAATTACTAAATTGCTTGGTTTGTAATCCCAGTTTCACAATGAAGAATAAAACTATAGTTCACACTAAATAAATGGTGAGTCTCCATTGCTTCCATTTACTAAGGTTATGATTAGCTTAATGCAAACCTCAACTGGCAGATTCTCATTAATTTCAATATTTTCTTACTACTGTTTTTGTGCAAGTTCTACAATGGATCCATTTGATGAGGTAGTATGTATCATATAATGCCTAGGGCATTCTCTTAAAACATTGTGCAGTGGATTGTGCCTGGCTGTTAAGTCAAGAGCCAGGCCACCTACATGAGTGACCCTTAGGCAAGTTACTTCTGAGCCTTCGTATGCTCATCTCTAAAACAGAAATAATAGTACCTACTTTACAGGGTTATTGTATCAAATGAGACTATATGTAGAGCATTGAAAACCTTAAAGCACTAACTTCAGCTATTATAACATTTAAAGATAGCATAAATAAATGAAATACACAGATATTCTTCAACTTCATTTTTCACCTCAGAATGTCTAAATATTTTTAACTGGATATATGAACAGGTAAACTGATTTTTTTTAGTTGATAAAAGCTACTCTGTGTATGTGTGCATACAGAAACATACAGCCTAAACTAGCAGCAGAGATGGGAGCTTCAGGCTCAACTAAGACGTACAGCCTGATATTCTACCACTTTAGGTTTCCACAATGGCAATTTGGTTACAGCCCAACTAAGACAATATCGTTAAATTTTGTATAATGTACTACTGCTGTGGAAATAATTGATTACAATAATAACTGAAAGTTATAAACAAATCTACAGTAAATTATCTATCTTGATTTTTATCCAATTCATTAAGCATTTATTATGCACCTACTAACAGTACTGGACAAACTATTACATCCCCAAGATACTTAGACTAAGACAAAAAAAACCCCAAAAGCAACACGCAGCCCCTGCCCTCCAATTATTTACATTCTACTGAGGGGATGAACCCTGTACACAGGTCAGTAAATCACCAAGCTGTAAATGATAACACCTCATTCTTAGTGCTCTGAGCAGCTAGAACTCTATCCGAGTTAGACTAGAATCAGGGGTGGGAAACGTCGGGCCTGGAGGACCACACGTAGCCTTGAGGCCGAAAGTTCCCCACCCCTGTTCCCCTAGATCATCAAAGCTTCTCTTCCTCCAAACTGCTATGACGATGCTTAGGGAAATGCTAGAAACGAGGGTGGAGAATCAAATGAATTTCTTTTTATCTTTGTGCTCCTCTACATTTAAGTGCTGTGCCACACACACACATCCTGCAGTTTGGAGTGGCATAACGCAGACATGGGAAAATGAGAAAACAGTTCTGCAAACCAGTACTATCAACTATACTTGTAATGTATCTCATACCTACACAAATCCGATATTCACATCCTCATCAGTTTGACACTTTATGTTCGTTGGGAACACAAAGTATAAATTAGAGTCCGTGTCCTTCAGTGTTTTATTTGGTTGGAAACTGAACTTATCCTTAATTTGGAAAAACAAAACAAAACTGTTGCAAGGTTGGCATATGCTAAGTGCTACGAATGGTACTACAATAAATACTACCAGGGGTAAGAGGAAGAGGTCACTGACCGGGTCAAGCAGTGTAGAAGGCTTTTACCTCAGATTAAATGCTTTAAACCCACAATTATGAAAACCAATAAATCGATGTGCTGACCTCGCTAGAGCAAATTTTCCTCGACACATTCACCTCCAGGGCCAAATCTGAATGTGGCACCTATCTAGCTTCTAAATGACCCAAGGAGTGCATTTACAAAAAGTGCATTTAAATCGTCCCTCCCCGATTAGTAATAAAAGGTTACTTTGGGGGACAGCGGTCTTCAAGGCGACGCCAATCTTTCCAACTCCACCCGACTCTACGTTGAGTAGCCGCTCCTATAAATCGGGGTTCCTGGTCTCCCTTCTCTCCACCTTCCATTGGCCAAGGCAAGGCGCAGGCGCATTTCGCATTACAACCGGCACTCGGCCGACAGTTCCCATTCTTTGGGAGCTAACGCTTCTTCCTCCGCCCCCCGGCACTAGGCTGGGCCAATTCATTCGGCTGCAAAGCCAGCGCAGGCGCACTGCCGGGTGTGGAAATACTCACTGCGCAATCGGCCCCCACTTCATCACCCCTCCCACCACAGCCTGAAGCCAGCAGACCCGAGGCCGAGAATTTAATAGTGTAGAAAGCCCGCATCTTCCCCCACGGTCCCTTAGCAATTTTACCCGGTGTTCGGGCCCGCAACAACACCCCCGCTACAAACATAACATATACGTATACCCCAAAAAGAAGCTCGCCGCCGCTGCCACTTCCAGAAGTTTCCAGTCGCAGCCGCAGCCACGATCGCCACAGAAAGCTAGAATGGAGGCCGTTGGCGCCGCAGCGTCAGTAGCGCCTGCGCTGCAACCTCCCTCTCTTTGATCGCCCCCTCCCACCTTGAGTCGAATGACAGGGGGAGGTAGGGGGGGAGTCAGGAGGGAGAGAGGAAGGGGGTGAGGAAAGGCGGGGGATACCCCGGGGTGAACGGGGGAGGCACCACTTGCTTCTTCGGCGAGCAGCATAAGCATAAAGGGAAGAGTTAAAGCTCCAACCCCCTGTCCGGGTTCTACACTTGGTATATCCCGACTCCCTCCCTTCCCCCGCCCCAACCCCCCACAGCCGTGTTCGTTTCTCGTTATCTGTACAGATGAAGGGGAAGGGGATAAGAGGATAGTGGAGGGGGAGGGAGACTGGGGGCGGGGCAGCCGGGAGGCGGGGTTGGCACGCCGCGTGTCCCGTGCCTGCTGGTGAGTCACGTGCCAGAGCCACAGCCAATCGCGGGGCGGGGCTGATCCTGGGAGCGAGGAGGCAGTGGTGAGGGACGGGCGAAGACAGGAGATGTTTTCAAACCCGACCCCGGCAGTGCTGTTAGTGGCGGTGACGGCGGTGACGGCGACGAGGACAGCGGCGACGCTGAGCCTCCGGCTCTGGGGTTAAACCCTTGAACACGGAACAAGAACCGGGATAGGGGTGGGTAAGGGAGGGGGGGCGTGGCGGGGACTGAGAAGCAGAGGAGGAAGGAGGAGCTCGACTGCGAGCTATTTCCCCGGCGCCCGAAAGGAGACCCCGCAATCCTGCTTCGCCGCTCGTCCCGCACTTCTCCCACAGAAGGTAAAGGACGCGCCCCCTTTTCCTCACCCATCTTTCCCAGCCGCGGCAGCGGGTCCATCCCAACCCTGGGCTGAGCGTGTCCTCCCCAGTGCGGGGATGGGGCCGAACTGAGGCGGTGGTGGGCAGGGCAGTGACAGGCAGACCGTTAACAGTCCTCCTGCCCCCGACAACACCCTGGCTCGCCTCGCCTGGATTTCCCTTTTCCCCCTGCCGGTCTTTGCCCGACGCCCTCTCCACGCCACCGACAGCGAAGGGCTGAGCCGCCTGCCAGTGTGTAGAGCCGCCTTAGCACCGGTGGCTGTCACTGTGCCGGCGCGAGGGGTGGGGGGCGGTGCTGGGAGGGTCCTGGACAGTGGGTGGGGAAGTGGACGGGGCAGGGGGCGGGAGGAGAGGGGCCACGGGGTGGTGGCTGCTAGGCTGGGAGGGATTTCCTCCCGGCTACCCTGTGCTCCTGTCTCGGGAGGTTTCCCGGTGCGGCTGCCTTCCGTAACATGGCGGGGGCTGGGGAGAGAGGGAGGGAGGGAGGGAGCAAGCGTGCTCGCGCGCGCGCCTCCGTGTGCGCCTCCGTGTGTGTGGGTGCGCGCGCGTCTGAGTGAGAGTGTGGTGTGTGTGTGTGTGTGTGTGTGTGTGTGTGTGTGTGTGTGTGTGTGTGTTTCTGTGGCTCCAAGAGGGCGCCGCCTGTGGGTGCCAGGGCGTGAAGGGAGGCGCCCGGGCGCGCGCTCGCGCTCCCGCCGCTGTTTGTAGACAGCTTGGCAGGGGGAGGGGGGGAATGGAGGCATCAGCTTGTCAGTTCACCTGGAGCAGCTTCCGAAACGAGGTGGCTGGGAGGGGGAGAATTAGGAGAGTTGTGCGGAGAGACAGTGAATGAAGAAAGAAAGGAAAATTTCTGCTTCTTGCTTGGGTTTTTCGAGAGAACGGGAAACATTGGCAGAGCAGCCACCTTGTTTTTAAGTGCCGGATACGTGTATGAGCATTGTGCAATCAGTCTTTTTCAGTTGCTTTCTTTGTGTCCATTTGAGTGGTGATCTTGAACAATCATTGCCTGTCACGTTCTTAGATCTCATTTTGAGGGACAATGTTGTGTGACTCATCCTAGAGGATCCCAAAGCGTTTTGTCGACCTAGACCGACGTATGGAGAAGCTACCAAAGCGCTGCTGACAGCTGATTTAGTAACAACGCTGCTCAACTGTTTAAGAGGGAAGTTGTGTATTTCAGCCGATTGAAACCTTAAGGAAAGTGTTTAAGCTGTATAAGTTGAATTGTAATTTAGCCAAGACATTATGGTTAAATTGAGAACTCGGTGTAATGTACCCGAGGCTCTTTAGTGGTTACAGGAGCTCAGGGATTTTCTATCTCATAATTACTCCGTGGAAGAGGTGCAGTTTTCTGGGTATTTTCAGTTTTGAATAGCCTAATTTAAAAATATAGGAAGAGGGAAATCTGGGAAATAATTTTAATAAGTTATGAACTGTGTTGACAACAGATATTTGGATACATTTTTAAGCATATAGGTCAGTGCAGGAGATCTTCCAGTTTCTTGAATCATCATGCAAAGGCTTTCCTAGAGATTAGCTCAGCACTGGCAGAACATATGCTTTCTTGGCGCCAACTAGCTTAAAAACAAAATGAGATAGGGAAGAGGGTGTAGTAGTTCTATTCCTATGTGGGGGTGATATTGTTGTTTTAATGCTCATTTAGAGCACTTTAAAGCATTAATATATAATCTGGAGATTTAAAAAAAGATTCTATACAAATAAAGACCTTTTACAGTTGACAAAAGTACTAATTGGACTTTTAAAAGTCTGCACAACTCTTATTCAAAGGCTTATCTTGAGAACAGATCAGATGTAAATATGGCATTAAGAAGAACATATGGTCTTCCCAGAAGAGAAATTAGAACAAGAGGTAACATACCTTTAAAACTCCACTTAGCCCGTCTTAGATTGTCTTTTGGGTGGTCTTCATAGAAGCAGCAAAGTTATTGAAGGAGAGAGATAAGTATTGTGGGAAGTAAGAAAAAATAGTTTATACAACAGTATAAAACTGTGTGGGGAAATGAGGTAAAGAAGTAAAGCATAAAAAATCACATGGAGCATAGCCTCTGATATTAGTTCATAACATCAGAAGAAAAAAAGCTTATATTTGATTTGGAAGTCAAATGTAAGGGTTTTAAGGAAGGGATTTTGATCTCTGTAACAAAGATGATTCCACTGCTTTCTTTTTGTAAAAATGTTACTGAAAAAGTTATTTTTATTATTCCTCTGAAGCAAGTTTGATAGGTGGTAGCTGATGGAAGCATTTAGGGAACATTTTATTTTCAGGGCATTTTTTTAATTCTAAGGGATTGTGGAAAAGAGACCTTTTTTTAAAAGTGTGATGGTTTTTGTGTTTATATTATATCACAGTTATTTCTGAAATTCTTAAAAGTCCCCCGCCCATGAACTCTTTCTTATAATAAAGAAAAAGTATTTGGAAAAAAAAATGCCAACTACCTGCATTTGATAGTCTATGGGGTCGAGACCCACAGTTTAAGAAGTGCTGAAGGAGTTGAGAGTGGAAAAAGTTTAAGAAGCCCTGTATAACATTCTGCCCAGCCTTTTTGCCCTGAGGAGGGGGGTATGTTTCATTATCTGTTCTTTGAGATATTAATTAGTTTTTCAGTTACTAAGTATAGTTTCCTGTTGGTTATCTTTCCATTTACATTGTTGTAGTTATTGTATATATTGTTCTTCTGGTTCTACTAATTGCATTTTTTATCAGTGTATACAAATTTTTTACATGTTTCATTGAGTTCATCTTTGAATGCTTCCACGGATGTATTTTTGACTGAATGCACAATATTGTATTAAATTTATATTACACAAGGCTAGTTCTTTTGAAATTAATATATAGGAATTTTTAAAATTATTCTTGTGTTTTGAGTTTTATTTCTGCCAGGTGTGAGCTTGAAGCTTGTCCCACCTCTGCTACTTAATGATTTTTTGTGTAAATTTAACCTCTCTCCATCTGTCTCCTCATTTCTAAAATGAGGGAGTTAGACTATATGCTTTCAATCTTCTGAATAAGATTTTCTCTATGGAAAACTGGGGGTGAGAGGAAGTAGAGGGATAGGTCCAGACGTGTGATTTCATTAGTGGAGGGAGTTTTCATACTACCTGTGCTTGGTGTGGAAACTTCTGCCACACCACTATTGGTATTTGTATTTGATTTGGCAAACACAAATTGGCAAATCCTTTGCAATTTATAAGTTGACTTGGGTACTGAGAATTTTAGTGACTTGCTAGTTTGCATAAGAGGCAGGATTTGAATACATGTCTCCCTGACTCCAGTGCTGGTACTCTGTTCTGTGCTTCGTGTTATCTTGCATAAAACTTCCCTGGCCTAAATATATTAGTGTTTTCTACAAACTTTTATTGTTAACCTATGGACTTGCTGTTACAGTACTTGCTGTTGGTTGAACATAGCTTCTAATTGGTAAATTATCAACTCACAACATGGGTACAATCTTAGTACTTTCCTGGGTACTGTTTTTATTTTATTTTATTTTATTTTTTAAGAGAATATATGGAAGAGGATTGAGGTACTTTGTGAATTTCTTGTAAGTATTCTTTAAGTAAGGTGAGTGGCTTATTTAATGGAATTTGAAAAGTACTTTTGTGAAGCCTTATTTTTTTTTGCTAGGGAAGGAGTTAAAAATATGGTATTGTGTCATTCATTTCTGAAAGCACTCAGATATGGCAGTAGAGTGAGATTTTATTTCTGGTCTCTAGGTTAAGCAGTTCATAGAGATGAAAAATATTGAGTGATTAGGCATTATGAATAATATTGCCGTATCTGTTTTGAAATGTCTTCTAAGGCTAGATCCATGGAGGAGGTTCTACAGACTTATAGGATACTTGAATTTATTTGGTTTTAAGCTTCTAGAGTCCAGGAACTGTATTTGTATTTTTTAATTTTGTATCCCCAGTGCCTAGGACAGTACTTTCAATATAGTAGGTGCTTAATAAGTGTCTAATGAATTGAAGATGAATTAATGATGAATACAATACAATATTACAAGTTTCTGAGATAGCAATTTTCAAGTACATTTTACTTTAAAGAAGGACACAAGTTTTAAGTTGGATTTTAAATGCTAATTGAAGGAGCAGCTGGGGGTTGCACAGTGGATAGAGCACCGGCCCTGGATTCGGGAGGACCAAATCCGGACTCAGACACATAATACTCACTAGCTGTGTGACTTTGGGCAAGTCACTTAACCCCAACAGCCTCACCAAAAACCAAAACAAAACAATAAAATGCAAATTGAAGGGCTTTAAAATGGCAATCCCTTCTCTTCTCTCTCACCTCCTCTCCCTATCCCCAACTACCACACTGCCCCATACTGTTTTGTGAATTACCTATTCCACTTTCTTCTAGTTACCACTGTGGAAGGGGGGGGGGGGCAGAGCTCGAGATTTTTACCAA